TCATCACCCAGATAAGCAGAGATTAACACCAAGATTACCACCAGAAATACAAGCAGTAAACAATACCTGCTTGTATTGTATTGTTGTAATCAAGGAACTACCAAAGGAAAAAAAATAGAACAAAACAAAACCCATGCCCACACCAACACTGGCAGGGCCTGCCACAATATATAAACAGAGAGCAAATCCCACTCCATTCTAGCACTGAAGTTGTTACCTAGCCAGGTAATGAAACATTTACAAGAAAACAACCAAGCTCAGAGAACCCCAAGGACTCCAGAGTCCACAGAACAATTGAGCAGCAGTCTTGGGAACATTGCCTATAAGTGAGGTTCCTACTTGTGTTTAGGGATAATGCCTATGTTGTAGTTATTAAAAGCTGGAAAAGGACACTGCAAAAGACACATAAGTAAAGACAAAGCAATTAAGTAATTTGAAAGTTGACAGGCAATTGAGACACATATTAGAAGAAGGAGCCATCCTTGATACTGGGAAGTGCTAATAGAAAATAGATTATAATTGTTAGAAGAACTGATTCAGTGATTCTCAAAATTTCATCTCTATAAAACAGCCATGCACATTATGGTATATTTTACAGTCCTGGAGGGAAAATATTTAATATCACTCCAAAAGTTTGCTATTTTTTAATTCTGTAAAATGTAGTCATTTTGTCTTTAGAATTTATGATGCATTTTTCTCATACAGAAATGATTTAATAAACAAAAAAATTAAACCACCACTTTCCATTAAAGAGAGTTCTAAAATATAGTTTCAGCAAACGTAAATGGGGGAAAGAAACAAAAGATTGATTAGAAATAATCAAGCAGCAACCTACATAAATATGTAAAAATCTTTAAATACTTTCATAACTCTCTGGATTAAACTAATACATTCTCAGAATTAACAAACCTTCAGTAATATCTCTGACTAACCAACAACTGTTCAAATTCTCATCTTTTTACGCTCTCCACATCTGACTTGTTTCAAATACTAGCACTAGGAGGAATTGAATTGTCCTTTTCATTATTCAATGCAAATATATAATAGAGAGCAGTAACAAACATAAAGTTTTGCCATGTCTGCAAAAAAGGTTCTTAAATGAAAGGAATACTATGCTTTGTTTTGGTGGTTTTTGTTGTTGTTCTTTCCATCCACCTAAGTTATTGACAGTAGAACAAATATTTTTATTTAGCATCAGACATGAGAGTTGTTATCAGTTTGGAATCATATATCTATTCTCTTGATCTACTTCAGTAAGTAAGGATTTAAACCAATAAAGAACAATTTCACCACATTTCTGTAACATAAATTGTTTAACAACTGAAAAGGGTAGAAAGAAAAGCAAGAAAATTTACTAACAATGCAAGACAAACTATGACACTGAACTTCAGCTAAAAAAGAATAAAAGCAGAAACAGTGTGCCTGATGATGAAACTAATGAAGAAACAAGTGTCTTGGAAGAGCCAGTTAAGACAGTCCCCCAGTAAGTTTCATAGTGTATATGAAGATTTCTCACAAGCATCTGCATCTTTTAACTTGTTTACTTGTTCCTTTCCAACTATTGTTATCAAAATTGAATGGGTTTATTTCCTGGATATGCATATCAAGGCTCAAATCGTTTTGTATTAAAATGATGCCAGTTTGACTTAGGTTGATATTATGAAGTAAGAAAATAAATTAGATACACTAAATAATATTGATGTACATTCTTTAGTGTGTATATGAACATGACCTTTAATTTTCTGCATATCTAGGAGTTTAACATCTTGCTATGAACTTCACCCCCATCACTGAAATATGTTTACCACTTTACCTTTCTGAAATCTTAATGGAGCCACACAAACTGGAACCTTTGTGTGCTGTACCTTCATGTAATAAGTCCAAGAACCATGGGTTAGAGTACATGCAGTCAAGTTCTTTCAGGCCCTGAAGCAGGATTACATATAGATTAGTTGCTTATGGAGATGAAGAACTTTAAAAGTCTTCCTGTTTAGCCTGGATTTTACACCAAGCAAAAACATTACCTTGGATCTGCTTGTTTCGTGATTTTAGGCTCTTCCACACAACCTGCTAACCACAGTTTGGAGATCCCTGAGTAAAAAAAAATAATGTAAGGATGTGAACTAATGACATTGTTGAATGCTAAATACACTCAGCCTTGACCCACCAAGAAGGCAGCCTGAATGGTCTTTTCCTGCTCCAATTTTAAAGTGGTCTGCTTCAGCTTCTTCTAGCACAAGTTGCACCATCCAATCCATCTGAAACACATCATGCCAAGCCTGGTCATTTGTGCCTTGAGTGCTCCCTCTGTGGCTGTGGCGCTTCACATCAAACTTTCAGGGGCAGTGCTGGCTGAAGAACCACTTCCAAACAATTCTGCAACAGGCATTGCAATAAAGCTTCATCATGGGGGTAGCAGCTAAAGAGCTGCTTCCACCCCATCTCTCTTTCCCTGTGGGAAAGGAAGTGGCTCTTTAGCCACTGGTGTGTAGGGGGAAGGGGTCTGCTTGGTGCCACTCCCCACCCCTACTCCCACTTCTTCTGTTGGAATAATTTCTGTCATTTGTATACTGGGTGAGAACATTTTATTGTGCCATGTGCAAAAAGCCCCCTGATTACCAATGTATTTTTGCAGTTCTTTGCTCATCCTGAGCAACTACGTTTATCATACAATCTTTACATGAATACAAAGTTGTTGATCAGACCAAGGTTGATGAAGTCCAAAATTCTGCATCAAGCAATAAGCAGCAAGATGCCTTTGAGACAGGACATGAAGGCAAAGACCCTAATATATTGTCTGGCTACAGTATCTGGTACCTAGACATTTATAGCTACTGCATATGGAAGGCTAACATACCTTGTCATGTTTATTGCTATATATCCATTAAATTGTCTGGCATGTAATATAAGAGCATAAGAAGGGTTGGGTTGGATCAGGCTAAAGGCCTTTTATTTATCCGAATATTCTGTTCCACAGTGTGTTCTGACCAGATGCCTCTGGCCTCATGCAATAACATGAGCACAATAGCACCTTCCCACTTGTGTTCAGCAGCAAATGGTATTATTCAGAAGCATCTGCCTCTGATGCTGGAGGTGGATATAAAGTACCCCACAAATTCGTCTACTCTCCTTTTAAAACTAATCAGACAGCCCACACTACATGTTGCTATAATTAATTTCATTACATGAGTAAAATGCCTCCTTTTGTTTGTTCTGAACCTACTGCATAAAAATACTAGACAACTGTAACTTTTATATTATGATAAGTAAACAATTCTCTGTAGCTGATCTCCGTTACATTGCCTTCAAGTCACCTTTTTTATAAACAAAAATCTTGTTTCCTGCACCAAAAAGCCCCAAGCTCTTGTATGCACAGCAAGCATGAAGGTTCCAGCCTGATTCACTAAATCACCAGAAATAAACTTGGGAAAGATTGAGCCAAAAGCCACTGAAGAGGTTCTTATGTTTATGGCATAATATTCATGGAGTTGTTTTCCTAAGAATGAACATGAATCCACAACTCTTTGCCTCTAAGGAAAGAATGACTACACTGTGTGTCTAGAAATAGCTTGAATCAATGGCCACTAAACAGTTACCTTTATATTTAAGATGGCGTTCATTTCAGAATGTCAGAAAATTGCAGTGAAAGGCCAGGCATAGCCTTCATATTTTATTTTACCTGTTTATTTTAAAACATTTGAAACCTGCTTTTTCGTTTACCCAAGAGCTGGCAACCCATGGCCTG